ACTTATCAGGATCTTTCCACTCTCGCCGCTACGCAGTTGGCAAACTTACAGGCAGGGGCCCAGTTGATCCTTTGATATTGCAGCAGCGATTGTGGAAGTGTGGGGACTGGGGTAACCGCAATCTTACAGACAAGGGTTCATACCAGGACCTTTGGGTGCCATTCCTTTTTTGGTTTCTTCCTACATTTTCCTAAGTATACATCCACACGAAGATAAGGTCCTCAACGTTCCAGGCATGGACATGTGGAGATCAGGTAACACCATCAAGCGCCTTGCTGTGTAAACAGCTCCCCCTAACAATGGAACCCTCCACCGCCCGTAGTAAAAATGCTTCGAATATCTGTAATGTCATTACAGTAATATTGAGGGCTAGCATTTGAGGAGTGAGGGGGTCATCATTATGGAGAGGTAGTTTCCATTTTCTTTTCCATTATCCCAATATATCCCCTATATAACCCCTATATAACCCCTATATAATCCCTATAATTATATAACCCCTATATAATCCCTATATAAACCCTAAATGGGATTCAAAGCCAGCGCCCTCCTAGTTTGTGAACTACACGAAGTTCGCAAGATTTGCCCGCGTGCGAGACGCCCCGGCCTTGGCGCAGCTTACCTACCAGAATGTCCAAAGATGTATACGGATTACATGGGGATGTATAGGGATTTTATGTCCAAACATATATATATATATAAGCTATTGTCTAAACTCCTTGTCGGGATTATACAGGGGGGGGATTATTGTAGGGGTTAGTAAGGGGGGGATACCAAGAGTTTAGACTCTAGCTGATACGCGGATTATACAGGAGGCATGCAGGGATGTTTAAGGTCGTGTTAAGGGTTGGGCAACACTCTGAAAGTAATATGGAAGCTTTTATAGCCCAGTGGAAGGACAGTGGGTCTGAATGATGGTATCCATTGGGGAGCAGCTCACCTGAACCCTGAAGCGCCAAAAGCTTAACGATGACAAAGCTTTAGATAGTCGACACCTACGGCTTCATTGCAGGAGTCCTTCAACATAAGTTGCAACCTTATCATCGCGTCATCTTCCTGGGGCTTAGTAGGGGATAAGGGAATGTATAGTATATAGGGATTTTCCCGTATTGCCTACTAGGAAGCAGCAAGTCATAATCATCATGTACTACTTGCGTCCCTAGCGTACCCATACTTTTGAGAGTTCTCTTATTGGACTCCACATCATGCCTGTAACCCAGCATTTGATTCTAGGCATTGTCTGGACCTCAAGGACTCACAGGGAGTTGGCAAATGTTCGACACCACACCTGCACGTCCTCAAAAGCTCACATGCTCACAGCAATGTCGTGAAGCACAGGACGATCGACACGAATGGACAGCTGTTTTTCTTGTGGATCGAGCCTGGAAGGGAGAGTGCTCAAGGTTTCTTCCTAGCCACCTAGCAGCTTCGAAATCCTCTGCTGGCATTGTCCCTATCAAGCCCAGCAGCTCCTGTTCTCTTGGTGTACCACGTCTAGGACTTCTTGAAGAAGATTTCATGAACACCAGAGTTGAATCTTAGCCTTTTGGGGCTCCAGTGTTGCTGCCAAAGTGCGGCAACGGGATCTGTAGTTTCACCATGAAATCTCCTGAGTTCAACGTTTCCATACGTTCAATGTAAGGGTCTCGAGGGCTTCCAACAGCACGGTTCTTTGCACCAGGGTGGGCTCTCAGAGTTATAGGGTCTAACAGCCCATCATGGTAAGGCTTGGAGTCCAGCTTGGGGTCTCTGATCGATCGTAACCCTAGTGTGGCAGCCATGTCCCCGCTCACCATGTCTGTACAGCCAAGCGTGGTCTTCAGCGAGAACGCATCGCCGGAGCTTCGTCGACTGGGCGAGACTGGTCTTTTCCAGTGCTGTTTTCGTTACATTGTACTGGAGGAGCAGGGTGCTTAGCAATTATACTTATCCCCCTTATAGGACTTGCTAAAACCGTAGTTGCCTCGAATAAAAAACCTACGTACTAAGTCCCCTTAACCATCCAAGTATGCTGAGGGTTTACGGTTCTTCGCATTGAAAGGACTACATACTGCAGAGCCTCACTTCTCTCGATCACTTCTTTCAGCCCCTGAAAGCAGCAGTAGCCATGCAAACCATGTAGGATTCAGGCTTTGAAGGTTAAGGGTCAGAATGCAGAAGCAGCAAAAACGAACGACGCCAGAAATGCTTTAAGTTCCTGGGTAATATATGGTAGTTTCCCTAAATAAGGGGACTCCAATATAGACCCCAAAATACTATAATCCTTATTATGGGGACCCGCAAAAAGGTACCCCTAATTTTGGGAAACCCCCATATCCACAAACTGTTACAAAGCCGATTATGAGCCTAAAGGTAAACATGGATTCTAGACCGCCAAGATGTCTTTATGATCTACATGGGGGAAAGTTACACGAATGTGAACAACAGACCATCTACAAGGTATAGAAAGCCCAAGTCATAGCCAGGTAGTATGCCAAAGCCCTTTACATTACAGTACCCTTGTAGAGAGGACTAGCGATTTGTAAGCCCCACATACCTAGTGCATTCAATTCGCCTAAGGAAATCAGAGAGTTGGTGCAGCCGCTGCTGTTGAGCAGGCTTCTCTTGTAGAAATGGACTGCGGGGGGGTGGGGGGGGAGGGCCTTTGGGTTGAGGGTTTCGCCTAGTAACGTATTGCTCTAAACTGCATTGCTGGACTCTTATGACCCTAGCCCCTTAACCCTAAATCCTACATCCCCAACCCCTAAACCCTAAATCCCCAACCCGGCAACCCTAAGTCCTAAATCCCTACACTCAAAACCCTAACCTCTAACGCATTTTCGAAGCTTTGCCGCAGGGTTTGCAACTTTGGCCTGGCCTCGTTGGTATTCACCGCGCAGCCGGCTAAAGAGATGCTAGGCTCGTCAGTACTTCAACTTCCTGGTATACATATGGGTGGTTCCGAAAATTAGGGCCCCGTTTTGGTACCCCAGAATATCAGGTGCCGTAATATGATCCAGAACCAAAAGGCTCATAATTTTGAGTATATACATATATATATAGATACAGGATTTAGGGTATAGGGTTAAGATTTAGGGTTAGTACGGGGAGAAGGAATACTGATACATTATGAAAGGGCTTGTATAGACTAAGTAATACCATATCATTCAGGGGGTTAAGTTTGGCGCCAGGGGGTTCTGGTAAGCACGTTCAAGAAATCAGTGTGGCATTGAGACATTGAGGTCGGATCTTCTAGAAGTGCATCAAATCTGGCACAAAGTAGTGTACTAGAATATAGCATTTTGCAGGTTAATATTGTAGCATGGTATTTTTTGATTTAACACATATTTTTGCACGAGGAGATCTCTCTTCGGCTGCCTGAAAGATTTGGGCTCTCTTGCTTGGCCCCCAAACAATCCGTGCAGCAGTTGTGCCTCTCCTTGGTGTCAGCAGGCGAGAACCTCTAAGACAAGCTTATGTTGCCAAGATTTTTTGTAAACTTCCTTGATAAGGCCCGGTAGACGCTGCACCCGAAAGCGCAAAACTTGAAGCTGAAAACCTTGAAAGCCCCTAAGCATTTGAAGTCTTAAGCCATTAGCTCCTACCAACGGTGTGTACTTGGATACGGTATTACATACCCCAAAAGCCCTATTCTAATTATTTGGGCCCTTACATTTACTCCCAAATAAGATCAAAAAAATTCAATGTACATCCAGTTTGCACTTTTGCCATTTGATCCACCATTCGATTCTCCGTTTGTTCCCACTATCGAGCTACTCAGACCGTAAACCCTAAGCCCTAAACTCTGAGCCCGCAGCCCTCAACCCTAAGCCTCAAACCCCACCCCCTAGAACCCTGAACCCGAAGCCCCTTGACCCTAGTCAATAGCTGAGGCTACCGATCCGCCGAGAGCGAATCGAGTTGCCACAGGTCCTCCTGACTTTGGGGGAGTAATGCAGGGATTTGTTTGGAGGTTGGGGTTCGTTGTCGCTGAGTGGATTACGCTCAGCCTTTTTGGGCATGAACAGTCATACTGTATTTAAACGGTTAACGTTTTGGGGGCTAGGGGCTCGGCAGCTAGGGGTTTCGGGTTTGGGGGTTTAAGGGTTTAATGTTTGGGGTTACAGGCTGGTTTCGGCCATATGATCAGCAGCTTTCAAAATCAAAAAGGAAACAAGGGGCAGATGTAGTGCTTATAATTTGGGCTTGGGTGTGCGTACGACTGCTGATTATCATGTCCTAGTCATTCTGGGTCACGACATCCACTGTTTTGTCCTGTAATTCTACCTGGGGGATTGTCAAAATTATGGTCCTTTTGTGGGTCCCTATTATAATACGGGGCCTAATACGGGGCCTACTTTAGGGGACCCAAAAAGGGACCATAATTTTGACAATCCCCCACCTAAGTGCAGGGAAGATGTTGCAGGCTTGTACCATGATTGCCTCAGAGCTTTTAGCACTGCCTGCTGAAGACTAAGCCCGTAGCTAGTTAGCCTTAAACCGATTCATTGCTATGCCGTCTGCGCCATGCAAGTGGTAAAACGGATTTATTGCTGGGTACTAGGAAGTTCTTGAGAGATTAGGTTGGGGCAGAGAGATCAGGCCAAAGGTGTGCAGCGTGGCGTCTTGTGAACAAAGGGAAATGGAATGCTGGCCTTCCAGCGAACCTCAGTTGCCTAAATCTCGCATATGTTGAAAACATGAAATTTGAAGCACCACTTCAAACCCAGGGGCAGGGGAGTTGCCTTCCTGGAGGCACTTCTTGGAGTGGACTGGATCGGTGATGACGATGGTGAGCCAGAAGCAATCTTGCTCGTCTTCCCAGGCCGCGCGACTGTGTCAGGGGCTTGCAGAAAAGGAGGTGAGATCTAGGGTTTGTGGGAGGTGGTCAATTTCGATGGGTTACGACATTTTTTGCACAAATCCACCCGCAACCTTCACTTTTGACATCCTGCAACCCCACAAATTTCCAAATCTCAAACCTCATCTACGAACACGTTTTCGTGCGTGAGTGGACTGCTGAGGAATTGGGACAAACTCACGCCGAGGCTTTGCCGGCATGATCGCGCACCTCGGAGCCTTAATTAGGAATATAGCGGTAATAAGGAGGGTATATAGAGGTTGTATGGAGATTCTATAGGTTCATATCAAAGTGGCTCGGTCCTGATGATTCCGAAGCCTCCAGCCCGCATAGTGTCCGGGGCTTATGGGCTACTGCCGATAGTAGGCTTACCCAGGAAGGTGCGTACACGCAGAGGACTCTGGATAGGCATGCCGCAAAACCAGGTTAATGCGACTGGTCTGCTGTTGGGCATTCTAGTCCCATCTCAGAATGAACGCCTCTGCACCCTAAACCACTAAACTATAAACTATGACTTGGCATGATTTTGGGGGGTGGTCACCATTTGGGGAGGGGGGGATCAGCATATGAACTGCAGTTAATTTTCCACGTAATGGAGATGCAAATGGACAAGAAAATGAAAATGACATGGAAGCTGGGATTATAAATGAGATTATTTGGATTAGTGCCTTTACTGGGCATGGTGATTTGGGAGAATATAGGGGACTATACTAAACTACAAAAAGGGGACCCCTATGTCCACGGTTAATTGTCCATTGCGATTTCTGTCGAAATCATTTCAGTGCCCCTGAACCCTGAACCTTAAGCCCCAAGGAACCCGAAGCCCCGAACCCTAAACCATCAAATCTCCAAGTTTTGTCAGGCCATGCCCATTTCCGAATTCCCCGAAAATCCCTAAGCCATCAAGGTCTCCAAGGCATAGAGCCGCGTGTTTGTTCAATGGGGATACTGTAGCCCCCAAGATGGCATAAGATTATAGCCTTCTTAACATGTCTATAATTGAGCCAGCCCTAAACCTTAAACCCAAGCCAGACTCACACTGACTTGTGTTCGACCTGCCCTGCAGACATCAACATTGAGCTACGCGCTAGGGTTAGGTTGGGGGGGGACCTACAGAGGAATATCTATGGGGTATAGGGGGACCAACGCAGGAGCAGAAGAAAACTTTAGTGTCCGGGGCTCACATGTTCTGTCTGCGGCAAATGTCGTTCCCATAGCAACTAAAACTCAAGGTACCGCAAAGCCTTACTTTAGATGCTAAATCCCATTTGTCATTCACTTCGAGACTGCCAAGGCACCATTTGGCCAAGACCTTCACAAAGATGAAAGTTGGGGTCACTTGGCTAGCCAGCCGTTGTCTCCAAGGCTTTCTGTCTTTCCGTGCTGTACGAACCTTTTCAGCTTTTGGTTTTGATCTTTATGATAACGCCTGCGGGTTTGGGGTCTAGGGGGTATGAACCTTGAGCCCCAGCACCTGTAGTTTTCACCAAACTCTGTAGCACACTCACCATCTGTTTTTGACGGCTTTCCTGAGAGCCCGAGAAACATATCATTTGAGGTGGAATAACAAATGGGATGCCCAGTTCTTAGAATCCCTAAGCCCTATATACCCTGTATATCCTCATGTTCCCCCCCTATATACTCCGGCATATCCGCCCTAATTTCTGCAAACAAACAACCAAGTGAGGTTGGCATCCTGCAAGGCCACGACGAGCTGCCACTTCGGTCTACATGCTCCTTTTGAGCATTGGGGTCCGGTAGGTGGCACTTCCTGGGGTGTAGGCTTCAGGGCGGTGGCTACATAGGCAGCATGAGGGGATGTTGGGGCTTCTTCACCCCGTATGTAGCGCTTCCTGGTGGTTAGCCGGGACTGCTACAGTGGTCCATGTAGCTTGATATTCCCACACTAGCCCCTCCAAGGATAAGTGGAGGTTGTAGTTTAGCTTGCTGTTGGGGCAGCTAAATTGTTGCCAGTATGAAGACACCCTATTCTACACTACCTATCTATCTATATACATATATACATGAATATGTATATATATATATATTTATCCATCATACCATGTCTTAATTCAAACCCCTTAGCCAGCAACCAAGTTTATGGTCGGGAAGCCAGGCTTACCAGCTACAGCCTACGTGGGCATCGGGGACATCGGTCACATTACCGAGCATGTGAGTTCAAAGTGGCCTACTACACCGCTGTCGGTGGCTTGGGTGCTTTGCAAATGTATTTGGTAATTTCCATCAAGGGGGAACCCATCAACCCTAAACCCTCAATCCTGAATCTGCATCAGATGGCTTTGTTCTAGCCAACAACCCCCTCTAAGATTCCCATTACCCTTAATGAGCCTAATTAAGGGAAACCTTGAGGGGGCTAGTATAGAGGAGGGGGGAAGATAAGCCATATATGTAGAAGTAGCCAATGCGTACTGATCTTTCCCACGGTATAGCAGCATGGGACAGGGTAGGTTGGGCAAACTTTCACATCTGCAGACCCCAACCTTCGCATCCTGACGCTAGACTCTCCAGCAATCCTGGCTTCTCCGAACGCCCCCCCTTGCACTAACCGCTTTACACCCTAAACCCTAATCCCGAAGCCCTACCAGCAGTATACATTATACTACTATTGGATACTAGCCATGGAAGAAGACAAACCCCAGATCGTCGCCTGCTCCATTGGTGCAGCTCATTTCACGCGCTGGGCCGGCCTGAACGCCATGCAGCTCCAGCAGCACCGGGTGCAAGGTGCCGTCGATGTAAATCCCGTCCACATATGAAGACTATGGGCTTTGGATTGCATAGGGCTGTACAGGGATAATATAAGGCAAAAAAGTGTTTTCATGTTGCATGGGTTTAGGGGGATCGCTTCCCTCAATGCTCCCAGGATGGTACCGACTATAGACTAATTACAGAGTGGGGGAAAACAGTTATTGGGGGGCTCAGGGTTCACCATCAGAGGAGGGGATTCTTGGTATGTTGTTGTGGTTGATTCCTGGAAGCTTCTTGCACAAGTCTGTACCTTTCACGTTGCCCAAGCAAGGAGGGCTGGCACTTGCCAGATCGACTGGGCATTTTATTTAATGTAGACTAAGATTGCCCCCCCCCTTTCTTGTTATGACATTTTTCTAGAAGAATACGACCTTACTTGGTTCGACCGCCAAAAAACACAGCTCCAAGGCAAATCTGCTGGCATGCATAGACAGAGCAATGTCGTTGAAAAATAATGAGCTCAAGACCAATCTTTGAATGCAAAGCACAGCAAACCACCATCCTGTGCCAGCCTTGTAGCACAGCTTGATGTCCCGCAGCAATAGCAGATCACCGTCATTATCACATAGCTGTACCGCTGACCCTTAACCCTAAACCCTAAACCCCAAACCCTAACGAGGTGCAGTCCTCGTTTGCCACGGCTACTCCTCTCGACATGCCGCCGGGGCGGTGGATGCCTCTGGCGCTGCGCCGGTCATTCTCAATGCCTACCGCGACATCGTACGGAAGTGCGCTGCATCTCGGCCTTGGAGCTTGAAACTTGGGGTTACGCAGGGATAATATTGGAAAATGAAATGGAAGCCGGGGCCTTGGAATCTAGAAGTTAATTTCCCATCTATAGCTACCCTTTGGCGTAATATTAGGATTATACCGGGGTTGTATTGGGATGTTGGAAAAGGGGAACTACTATTTAGGGTGTAGGGGTTTCCTTAAAGGGAGATACAAAGGGTTATATAGGGTTTGGGGTTTCTCAAAAGTAGGGGAACCGTTTTAGCGTCCCTATAAGAAGGGTCAGATTAATGGAGCGTCAAATGGTCGAGAAACTCGGTTGATATAGTGGTGAATAGGGATTATGGGTTCTTAAAATCAGGGATACTTTTCTGGGGTCTCTATAAAACGGATCACGTTATTTTTGAGTCTATCATACAGCCCCCTGTTCACGGAAGCCCCCACACGGCATGTCTGATGTCGGTCATTTCTCCTCCAGGGCAACAACTACAGTCGTTTGCAGACATGGTGGTGAATGTGCCCTTTCTCTCGAGCAAGTGTCTCGATCGACCAGTACAAAACTAATCACAGGATGAGTGTACCTCCAAAAACAACCGGGTCGCAGTGCATAGCTCGAAAGGCTAAGCCTGACTATGGGGACTTTCAAAAGTTTGTGGCAACTTACATACCTGGTCGTTTTCAACTCCAAAGGAAAGATCATTTCCATCTTTTCCACTTGATTTTCCCCATTGGATTCTCCGTCTGCTTGGGAACCCCGATGAACAGCTTGAGTAGAGTACATTGTGTAGGGGCATAAACGCAAAAAAAACAAGACTGGCGGCCCTGTGCAGGCTTCATATAAGTGTTTCGGGGGACTAAGTGCTGTAGAAGCCTTACGAATTGCCCTTTGTATGGTCTTTGATTTCTCGTATAGGATACTTCAAAACAGACCTCACATGATATTGGTACACAGTACGCCACGTAAGAGCTACGAAGACCCTAAACCTTATAAACCCTACAGCCCTTAAACCCTAAGACCCTAAAACCCCTAAACCCTTGAATCCTTAAACCTTAATTCCTTTAACCCTAGAACCCATAACCCCAAACCCTAAAACCCTTAAGCTTCAGAAGCCCAAGGATTTGGAAGTCCTGGCGAATAGCTCCTCGGTCTGCCTCTGGCCCGTTGCCAAAAAAGAGAAGGTCATACAGGGGCCTAAATTAGCACCAGCACAAATATTATTCAAGATGACAAAACAGGGTTAGGGGCTAGGGGGGTTAGGGTTTAGGGTCT